GTCTAGTACTCCCATGTTTTCCAATAGTTCTCTAACTAATGTCAGCTCATGATGAAATCCTGTAAATATTTTTCTATCGGAAGAAATTCATTTTACTCAATATTAGTGCACTTACGTTCCATCCTATAAAGTATATACGAGATATCTATCATGACATCAACAAACGTCTTACAAAACACCGTTTTAGGTCAAGTAATTGCTATTGCAACTGTTAAATTAAACAACAAACAAGTAATCGAATAATTCTACTATGAAACGGATTAAATAAATTTGTAATATTATTATTATTAACGGTAACGACTGAAGTTTATTCTAATAGCTGGTAGAAAAAATATACAGTAGGGGGATGTACAAAATCTATCAAGTCATTCATTCATTATATGTGTAGTGTTTATTTTGAAATTATTTTGTGACACAATTAATCGAATTCAAAAAGCTCTTAGAGATGCTTTAGATGACAATTGAAAGAATATTATAAACTAATATGTCAAAGTAGTTTAATTGTCAAATAATGGCTGAGTAAAAATAAAACAAATGTAGCCAAACGAACGAAAGGGAACATCAAAAATGTCCAGTAATCAGGTATTTTAAAAATTGATTTTTCTTTTCACTTCCCAATTCATAGTTAATCTGAACGTTGGTTCAGACAATCTGATTACACCTGTAACTGCTATATACACATGTAGATAGAAAACATTATATCATAAGATTGAAGTCAATAGGCATCGAAAAGAGTGGAGGACACATATCTGTTAAAAATCCTTTGCTATGAGACTAAATTTACCGTGTACACATGCAATACCAAATAACTTTTGAACACCTCGACTGACAGATAACTGTCAACGGGCTGAATTATGAAATTCAAACATGGTTTATATATGGGCCTAGAAAGACATTTCGAAATCACCCTAATGACTCATTTAGATGATGGACGAAATTGGGTATACTATTCCGAGATGACAGTATATATTAGGATACCATCTTCACCATATCCAAACAAACGCCGTCCGGCTTTAGACATTGAGAACCAGACACTCAGATTCTCAACACGGAAGCTGAATTTCGCGGGAGCAGAGCAAGACTGCATACACTGATGGCTTTCAGTTTACGATTAATGACTTCATCTGTCAAAAGTCCACCAGGACTCATACAACCCTCGAGATACACGAACTTACCAACTACTTCTAAGAGTTCATCTGTGAATGAGATTGCTTGTACAGGTCCATAACAACTTTGTAACAGTGAGTGTACTTGGACGGAAAAGCACATAACATACTTGCAGACAATAATCACAATTCAGGCAGGTAGTTACCTGGGGTTCTAGTGGAAAGTCGTGACCAGTAGGGTGCAGCAGGTCGGGTGTGAGGACAAATACTCGCCGAAGACATCGGCCAGTGGTCGCGCTGTGTCGTGAATTGGCAGAAGTAAGAATTGATGGACTGTTCCAGTGGCTTAATGGTCTACGAGTTCGCCTTGTAACCGAAAGGTCCTGGGCTCGAACCTCGTTGGTGGGTGCGTACTGCTGAAGAGTCCCAAACTAAGACGGAGGAAGCAGCTGTCTGTCCAGTACTCCCTGCAGGTTTCCCAATGGTTCTCTAACCAATGTCATCTCATGATGAAATCCTGTAACCAATCAAATATCTTCAAACCAACGCTTGGACCACAAACTAGTTAATCTGAGTGTTATCGCCTTGTAAGACGATATCGTCTGTAAACCCAAGGTCAAAAAGCCTTTCTCCAGATAACAAGTCTACCTCGCGTACATTTTCCAGAGTTTTCTTCAGAATGTCAAATATTCCACTAAGATGCCTTACACTCATCCTTATATTAGCAAGAATCATACATGCATATACAACTTTCTGATGTGAAGTGTCAAAACCTATTCAACTAGAAGATCTAGCTATCTAGAGCTATCCTGTTTCTTATGACTATGAAAGTTTATTCAGTGCATTATGAGAAAAAATTATTGTGCAACGATTAAAGTAATCAACTCGTAATTGAATCCACATGACACATGATAATTCACTGACAATAATAAGCTGTATAAATCCCTAAAATTTAGTTATCTGTGCAAAGACTCATAGAAAATGTACGCGTAATATTCCAGTACGGTGTAAAATAGTACGAAGACTTTACTTATACTGATCCTAAGGCGAAGACTGTTGATTTGATTCGAAAAACTTACAGTGGTATTTGAGACATTTCTAACTGCACTCTGACAGTTATTTCAGGGAAATAGTTCAAATGATCGAAAAGCGAAGTTTCTGATCCCCAGTGCTCACTTTATTTATGATACTAGAAAATTTACGAATAGAATTCAACTTACCAAACCACAGTAGATCACCTTTTCCTTCATTCCTTTGTCTTTTCAAGTGAAACAGGGATTCAAGCCTAAGCTTTGAAGTCTTAATAGTGGTGATGTACTAACCTTACGTCTAACCTTCTCTATTTACCAGGTTGACTACCATCAGTTAAAAGAGGTTTAGGAATGCATCAGTCGGGAATTGAAGACGCACCATAGAGATATGGTTGGTAGAATGTTCTACCACTGGAGCATCGACGATGCACAAGCCAGCCAACCAGAAGCTCCCCAACAAAGGAATCGAACTGCGCCTTCCATATACACCAGGCGAACACACATACAATCACCATACAATCGAGGAATCTTCGGTCACTCACTATAAAGTCATCAAATATAGATATAGATAGGCCTCACCACCCAAAAACATCTGATAACTAATCAAAAAAAGGAAATTCTATTATAATTAGACTAAAATAATATTATTATTATTATTCAGATCAATATAGTAATATAGTAAACATCAAAACATTTTTTGAGTGTATATATATATATATGGAGGACTGATCGGCGCACTAATACAAAGGTAGTAAGCCATACAAAAACACAAAAGCAACCAAAAAAAACTTCAATAATTTAATTCATTTAATAAGCTGAACAAGTGACCGAGTTTATATTAATAGTAATAATAATAACCAAGATGTTGTAGGCGTTAGCACAAACAAATGACAAAACGTTTCATGGGAAAAAAACACAGAGGCGGTAGGTGGTGGCGATGTAAGAAATCAACGAAAACGACAACAACAATAAAAACGGAAAAAGATAAACTTTTTGGAAATAGAAGAGAGAAATTAGAGTAGAAAACTACAATTTAACACACACACACACATACACAACTTACAATATAAACAAGTAATTTAGAAAAGAAAAGGGACAGTGGTTTGAATGAAATATACTTCATATATATGTATAGATTTATGCATATTTCATTTCACGGAGTAAACAAAATTGTGCATAACTTATAATAATAATAATAATAATAATAAACTGGGTTTACTAAGATTAGGCCACAGAGTAATGATGCATATTATATTATCTGATAAGAAACAAACTGTGAAAGGAAGAGCAACAACATTCTGTGGAATATATTTATATATATTTATAGATAATAATTATTAGGGATTAAAGACAAATTAACTTTCAACAACGCAATGTCCAACTGAATTTTGTGAATTATTCACAATGGTGTAATGAAAGTGTCACACTATATACGGGAGGATGTCCGTGTGTGCGTGTTTGTACACAAAGACAGACAGAATCAACGGTTCTATGTATATATATTCCACCATAGCATTGAAACAAAACGAAACACTATTCATAAATGTTGTATACACATTTCATCTCATCCGATGTTTCAACACTCATGTAACAACACTCATTAATCAATATTGTGTTAAGAGATTGAGTATACACCAAGATGGTGATGATAATGAGGAGGATGGCGATGGCGATGATACCTAGGAATTGAGAAACTGACGTGTATACGATCAAAAAGCATGTATGTGTGTGTATGTATATAATGTTGATATTTATCAGCAATGGCACAATTCAGAAAATAAAGCTAAGTATATTATATTGGTTAACGGGGACAATATTAATTAATGAAGGCTGAATCAAACTCACATATATTATATAAACGTGAGAAGAAAAATAATAATAATAATAATAATAGTACAGCTTATTCATCAAATAGTGTGGTAGAGATTTTATAAAATAATCAGTCAACTAACTGGCAAGAGAAGGAAGATATTCCTTTCTTTTTTAATAATAAGCGGAAAGAAAGAATGCTAATTCCGACAAAACAAAACACAAATAGGAGCAGGAGGAGGAGGAGGACGTAAGCGACCACAGAGATGAAGAAAATAAACTCGTCTAATGATTGTTTCTTTATTGTTTGAATGTTTTATGCAGTATATGTATGTTGTCGAACTAGTTGCTGCTGTTGTTTCAGCCTCTCTTTGTATGCAGTCGTCGTAGAATGACAACAATCAGAAGACCAATGAAGACAACGAACGAATGTGAATGAATGCATGTGAGAATGAATTGAAAACAAATACAGACATGAAATTAAGCGAATCTGTACTAGTGTTTCTTTTTTCTGGAAAATGATGGCATTCGAAAACTGCCTTTCTTCTTGATTTTCTTCTCAAGTGTTTTACTTCCCTAAAAAGTGAGTGAGTAGGGGAAAACAAAGGACATTAGCACAAATGAATAAATTAATAGGGAAATAACAATTCTCCACGGCTATATAATGAATGATATAAAAAAAACAGACGACTCAGCAACTAATTAAGCTCATTGTTTACACTTTATAAACTTGGTGTGTTACACTCTTTTCTCTCTCATCAATCCACATTGCTGTAAAGCCCTTAAATTTCCGTATACACATATTATAGCAAGCAATGATCAGAATAGACTGGATTTGTAAATGCAGCAACACTATAGTATCACAACACATGAAGAGAAAATTCACAATGCTTTTCAAGTTTTATGTGAACATGCTCCACTTATTATTTATTCATTTATGAGTGCTACTCTTAACAACAACAACAAAACACAACACAAATTTCATGCAAGATAAACAAAAAACGAAAACAACCTCGACGTTAGTATTTAGGAGGTCACCATCGACCGACTGAAGAGTATTCGAATTTGATAAAACAGCTGAAAGAGAATAAAAATACAATAATCACACCGGAAATAATTTGATATTATTGATAGGCCATAAAAACTATACAGTAAAAAAATGGAAGCAGGATAATTTTTGTGAAATCACACTCAATTTCTTAAATGTTATGTATTTTTTTAATAAGCGATGCTACGTAATATTTCAGTGGTGATTGACGATATCCTTATTTGGTTGAAGGGTTTCATCATGGGTTGACATCAATTAGAGAACGATTGGAAAACCTACAGGGAGTACTGGACAGCTGTTTTGGGACTCTTCATCAGTGCGTACCCACCGATGGGATTCGAACCCAGGACCTTACATGGTTACAAGGCTAGCGAGCTCGTAGACCACTAAGACACTGGGATCCGGTCCAGTTGGCTAGCCCATTAATTCTAACTTCTGGTAATCACGCCATAGTGTGACCACTTCGCAATGTCTTCTTCAGTGAGTTACTGCCTCACTTTTAACTTGCTGTACCCTACTGGTCACGACTCACCCACTATAATCCCCCTGTCAGCTTATGATGAAATGCATCAACCAACCAAACAAAATCCCTACAAAACCAATACTTGAAGATTTCCTTATTTCTACACTTTGTAAATGTTCACTGTTGTCTGTTTCTATTTATTGTTAATATGCAATACAAACAATGTTGCTGAATGCGGATTTCTAACTTCTGTCCCCTGTCGTTGTTGTTGTTAGGTTTACTAATATTTGATCATTGAATATTACAATTAGGAATAAATATTACACCTTTCTTTTCAAGCACATTACTAGCTTTTTTATTGTGATAATGGTATTTTTAGAAAGTCTCAGACGAAAACGATGAAATTAAGTGAAAACCATGTGTGTAGTTGCTTGCACAATAGACAGCCATTTACATCACGGGTGTAAAGACTATTGATACTGCCTGGAAGTTCAAACTTTGTATATGGTGTGAATACGAGTGGCACACACATAGGAATTGATTGGAGCACGTGTTATCTACAGATCAATGATGAAAAATGATTATACGGAACCTCTGGAACTCTGCGAATAAAAACTACTTAAATGTCAAGGAGACTTCATGATTACTAGAGATAAAAGTGGATGTGCTTCAAGCGAGTATTGTTACAACTCCTGCATAACACACTAGTATTAACAATGAACAACTTCAATTGGTACATATATGCTGTACACATAAGAAATCAAACGTGGGCTAGTTAACAATTATCAAGCTTATGCATTTTGATACGATGGATGGTTTGATTGAAAAGCTTATATTATCTTTCTAGACAGCATCTTCAAAGCAAACTTTAATATGAAGTGAAATTATTTGAATTCTGCGTGTGTGTGTAAATATAGTTGTTAGTTCGCATCAGTATCGATCGCTTTTTTACTGATTTGGAATTTGACTTTTTGGTCACTGATTCATCTGAGTACCGGGTTTTTTTGGAGTTTCCAGGTATTTTCGGTGTTTCCACTGTTTAATATCTCACCATTTTCCAATAATTGTCCTGCATGTATTGATAAGAAAGAATATATATGGAGTGTCTTTTAACAGCTAATTTATATTCTTGAACTTGGAGTCGAAGGCGGCGACTATTTTGACCAATAGAGTGATTTTCATAGTTGATGCAGTCTATATTTTGTAGATGGTGTTCATTTTGTCCGCTATCGCTTTTGCGTCTTTCGGACTGCTTAGTATTGAATGAATGGTTGAATGATGATGGTTTGCGTGCGATATTTATTCTGAACGACTATCGTATTCTAGCTGTTATTTCACAAACATTCTTAATATATATGTGATAGGATGAATTTTCTTGGTGTTTTTAAAGGGTTAGTTTTTTCTACAGCTAGTTTGATTCGAGTGTAGACATTTTTGATGAACCTGTGAGGATATCTGTTTTTCTTGAAAGCAGTTAATAGACATTTCTCTTCTATTCTCCTTGAGGCTGGAGTGTTGCAGTGTGTTTTGGTTCTTTTGAATAAAAATGTTGTAGTTGAGTATTTTAGTCTATTTGAGGTGATTTTCTGTATACGTGTGTTTCTAGATAACTAGTATCTAACATACATGCTAGTAGTGAAACTTACGCTTAAAAAACAATATTTTATATGCTTGAAATTTGTTCCAATCAACAATATTCAAGCGACGATGTGTGATTTACAGAAAAAAAATACAGCGGAAAGAATTAAATGATTTTTATAGGTTAGACTTGTTGAAAAGACTTACTCATATGTTGTACATTGGCAGGTAGTGTCGCACTCTTATTTACAGAGGGATCATTAAACCGTTTGGTTGGTGCTATAAAAGAAGTCAGCAAACAAATAATAAGGTTGAAAATATAAAGGTATTTGAGTACAAGGTCGAACTGTCAAATGAAATACATTAAGAAATCAATGGAATTTTTGATGCACCATATTTTTACATGTCGTTTATTGGACCTAAAAGAAGCTTAATTAAGAGCGTATACATGGTGATTATTTTAATAAGTATGGGCCTTTATTGATCACTTAATTTAATCAAGAATAATTAACTTTTATCAAGAGCTACTATAAGTATTGCAAATAAACTGAGACAAAGCTGCTTAGTATAGTAAAAACTGCTATTCTTACAAACGGTAAAACTATCAGAAGTTTAATTTCTGATATTGGAATTCCATATCACAGTTTGTTTAATACAGTCTCTCTCTCTCTTGTCCATAAGTTTTCAATCATGAACCACACCATGTAGGTATTTCAGACAATTACCACAAGGCGTCGAAAACCTCGACAATGAAATTCATTCAGAATATAAGACTGCAATAAGGACAGAGTAACGCTTCTATGAGTGTTCAGTATACCCAAATACAATATGAAACTAACTGTAGTACCATGGAGTGTAAGCTTGTTTTTGTGACGTAGCAGCCTGAACCACACTGACAACGTATAAACGTTTACCTGTTGGTTCATAAGAGTAAAAATGAATTCAGGCGGCGGAGGATTTTGTTTACTACTGCTAGCTACTTCCCAAAAAAACGAGCTATATGACCTCGGGCAGCAAAATTGCACCAAAATATTACCAATGTTCCCAAAAGTCGTAATATAAATATCTTCTACGGATTAACTTGTAATATTCTGGAAAATAAGTGATGTAAAGCCTGTTTCTTAAATCATACAGATTTATTCAAACTTCGCAGTTTAGGCAATTAAGATTAATTGTTGTAAGACATAGGAACAGAGAGGAGGAGTAGATGAGTAGGTTTCACAAAAAGGTTGGAGCAGGCTTTTCTGCAAAATTAGCAAACATCCCGAAATTCTAATCTTTTCAACTGTCTGTCTGCTTTTGATATAGAACTTTGCACTCATGTGCAGCAGTTCAAGTTGTCACACTCCATGTAGCACGCTAAGCAAGAGGAGAAATGCATAATAGAGACAGTAAACAGAGGTGTGAGACAAAGGAATAGTAGTAACGAAGAACAAAACAGTTTTATTGGAAACCATAAGTCACAAGGAGTGGATGCATCTGCGCCGTTGAGAACGATTTTGAGCCATATCACCAACTGTTTCCAACCATTGGTTTTTACCGTCCTGAGGACCCCAACCAGGAAGTCTACGCCTTCCTACATGGCTTAATCTAACTGTTTTCAACTGATAAGATAAAACAACTTTTAGTTTCATACTAAAATCATGACACTAGATTCCACTGTGTAACCCTCAAAGCCATTATTGATTACAAATTTTCAGGTTCCAGATACAAAGAATTCAACGGAAGCTCTTAAAAAATAAAACTGAGTCAGGATGCAATGGGTCATGAAACACACACACACGCGCGTTAGGACAATGGTGTGTACTGACAGCGAATGAAACTACAGAGACCCTATAAACTAGACTTGTAGATTGCGTAGTAGGAGCCAATTCGACTAACTCAAAGTCTAAAGATATGTTTCAGAATTAATTTATATTTACGTTGCAGAACTTGAATATGATTATTCCAGTAATCTAGGAGCACCCTATCAAAAAATAAAATATCGGAATGGGTGCGAACAACTTGGTAAAAATCAAATGAGACAAATCATGATTAACCATGTTGTTTTGCGACAGATGATTTGCAACCGAGCTGTTTTATAAGAGTACCAAGACTTACTCATACTTAATCATCTATCATAGCATGATACAACAAATCGCATGTGAAAGGAAACAATCGGTACTACCAGTTCATGCAATAAAACTACAGGCGAATACTTTAAATGGAATGTTCACTGTGTGCAGCTCTAACCACCAAATTGAGACCGTAATAATAACGAAAATGGAATTATATCCGAATGACTTCCGAACTAGAATCGAATATACACATACATTCAGTTTTATTAGCTAATGGTTATCCGGAAAACTTTGTCACTTGTCACAGTAAAGAAACACCACATCTCGAAAAGACAGCTTCTGTACCAAAGAAAGCTATCTTTATTAACCTACCATTGAAGGGCAACCAGATTATGCAGTTGACAGCTCAAAGACTTCAGTCAGCCATCAAACGCACATTCTACGCCGCCACATCTCTTTTTCTCACTTGCCGAACATTTTCGATCCCTGTACCTACGATTTAAGGACGAAATCCTGTGGACTCTAATTCAAACTGTATCTACAAGATCACCTGCAGCTGCGGTGACACCTATATAGGTAGAACCAACAGAATGTTCCAATGTCGTCGAAAAAAACATGTTCCAAAATGCCTACTAAATCATATCGAAAATCCCAATGCGATTAATCCGAATAGAAATCCAGCATTATCCATTGCAAAACACTTATTAATGTCAGGTCACCAAATCAATATTAATGGCTGTTTCATAATTATTTCACATAACTCTAATTCAAGGTTATTGAAGGTGATGGAAGCACTTTGGATCAATCACATACAGCCTAAACTGTGTGTACAAAAATCAATAGACTTCAATCTTCGCCTACCATGGACTACATGATCTATTTAAATATGATTGTTCATTAGTATGTACTTTTGTTTTTTTATTTAACTGAGTAATTGTCATGATCTTTATTTTATTATTGTTAACCATGTTAGTTGTAAAGAGGTTGTAAAGAAACTACGAAATGACGATATCATCTCGCGAAATTTGTCTTCTCAATGCCTTATTCAAAGACTACTCATTAGATAGAGAGAGTTGTGTTACAAACAGAAGTTTGTTAGAGAATTACTGGAAAACAAAGAGCATTGAGTAAGGTGGTGGGTGAGTCTTAAACTCACGCCTAATAGTGAAGTATATATATATATATATATATATATATACTTCACGGGTGATCAAACGTGAGGTCGCCAAGTTATGAGATGGATGTAATTATTAGGTAAATTTCACTTAGTACTTCTGAAATATTTCCATTCCATACTTAAAGTCAATTTTGTACAGATTATCCACGTGTTCTTTTTAGGTACACTTTCTCCCAACTTTTCCCTCTGCATCCTTTTGTTTTCTCAACTGAATACCAACTTTCTTTATTTCCCTAGCAAAGGACTTTTGCCAGTTGCTACTGTTTATGTGACTTTTAAAAAAGAACCATTTAAATGGTTTCTCATGAATAGCATCCATAAAAGTACTACCCAGATATTTCATGTCAGAGAACTCGACATGTTGACACTGTGAGAATCAAATGTCTCAATCACAATTCCATCTGGAGTACAAAAAATAATTTCCCAATACATATATTAGCCTATTAATAAAGTTGTCTGAGACGGGAAACAGATTAGCATGCAATAACAATCACCTCAAGTGAAAACAATCAAATATAAAAGACCATTCCCACAGTTGAAATAAATAGATTTCCAAAAATTCAGATGCATACCGTCAATAATTTACGCATAATGACACTTCATATTAATTTGCTGGCAATTATTAAATTAACGATAATCCATAAATGGCAAATATAACTTCTTACTGATGGTCATGCATAAAATATTATGCAAGATGACTAACTTAACAATACTCTTAAGGGCTCTCTATCTTATACCTGTAGGTTACATATGGGGATGAAAAAAAATACTTTAACGATTTCGCACTGAAAATTGAAATGATGCTGATTTCAGATACTAATTGATTATTTGTAGAAAAGTGACCCACTGACCAAAAAACCATAACCAAGAAAGGGAGACTATTAATTTGGGGTAGGGTATTCAGCAGGATTTAAATCATGCAGAATCAAACACATCATCATCATTATCACCATCATTATTTTGAATAAATTAAAATTGTGAAAATAGATGAGAAAAAAAAGAAATCAGGGCTTACTTATATTGTGTGATGGAGTAGCAGTTGCTGATGTAGAAACTGAACCGTTTAAAGTTGAATAGCCTGAAACACCATGTAGACTTTCAGTAGGTGAGTGAAAATTCCTCTCCGTGTCAGTTGTTGTTGTTGGTGTGCTACCGGAATCTGATCGTCTGACAGGCATACAGATAGGAGATTCAGAAGCAAAAGGATGTGGACGATAGTCAACAGGATTCTTCATCTTCAATTGTTCACGGGGTGATGCAATCATAGAACTTGATACTTTACATTTATAAGATGAATCCAATGACGCACAACATTCAATATGTATATATATATATATATATATCCATCAACGACAACAAAAGTGAGGATTTTCAGAAATAGCATGCAAATGTAGAGGGGATCAAGAGACAACAAAGAGAGTAATAGGCAAGGTAAAAATCATACAAAGTGTGCGTTCACATAAACAACACAAAGAACAGGAATTATATGCTGAACTACAATGAATCTCTCTGATGCATGCAACACTGATATAGAATGGAAGTTTACAGTTACGAGGATAAACGTTTACTTACCTATCCCATTATGTGATGATGGTTCATTTGCTTTTGCCAGCCACTGATTTCTCTGTACATTTTTTTGACGGCTGGCTCGAACATGATCGACAATTCTATAAAAAAGTAGTGAACAAACACCTTGGACAAACTTTTCACACACAGAATGATGTAAAAACATTTAAAAAACAATTTAAAAATACCAACCATGGATTTGCATCTAAAACACAATTTATCACCCACTGAACACATGATGCGTTCAAGTATTGGTCTGTAGGGATTTGATTGATTGGTTACAGGATTTCATCATGAGCTGACATCGGCTAGAGAGTCATTGGAAAACCTGAAGGGAGTACTGGACAGGCAGCTGTTTCGTCAGCCTAGTTCGGGACTCTTTAGAAGTACACAACCACCAACGGGTCTCGAACCCAGAACCGTCTTGGTTACAAGCCATTAAGCCACTGGGACCCGATCCAGTGGCCAGCCCATGAATTCCAACCACTGTCAATTCACGACATAGTGTGACCACTGGCCAATGTCTTCGGCGAGTATTTGTCCTCACACCCGACCTGATGTACCCTACCGATCACGGCTTCCCAGTAGAACCTACTTGTATAGGGCCAGTCGCTAGTGAACACCTCATCGATATTCAAATATTGGTTTGTTTGTTTGTATTTTTCCGTTAAGATAACGTCTTTTAAAGTACCAAGGGAATTACTAGTGATAAGTCACTTGGAATACTTCAATGGGTTCTGAATTTTGACCTCAAGTTTATAGAGCGATTAAATCCCTAATATTATTTATGTATCTTGAAAGGGTTTCCGCACGGAACTAAACATTGCTGGAACCTAGACGCACTTAATTTGTGCGTTTCATTAATTAGAAAAAAACACATGCAATGTAATAGTTAGAATTCCAAATTGCTAATAGGCAGACGGAGACAGATATAAGAATGGAGAAATGTATTGTCACAAAAGAAGATAGACCAAATCAAAATCGCGCATAAAAATGTGGATGTGTACAACAAATAAGACAGTCATCATTTGCTATGCAATTTAATTGTCACCTAATTTTCATTTTTTTTAATACATGTGATATATATATATATATCGAATCGATAATCTCAATTTAATCGCTCAATACTATTTTCCAATCTCTTGGCAGTACGTCCGCCTGTTGTCTCAGAGTGTGAAAGAACAGTTCTTTAAAGACATCTGTAATCCAAAACAGATTTAACGCTAAAATCTTGCAGGTATACTACTTACATATTTACAGTTTTATCGCTGAATAATATATATAATTTAATTTCTAAAATGTTTTATACAAATGAAACTGACAAAAATATTTCACGGTTTATGTAGAGAAATCCTAATTTCCCCCCCCCACCCACCCCCGACAGCTGAAGTGGACACCTAGACAGAATAGCACCCCCTGCATCCTATAATCGTTTCTCGCATGAATTCAGTTTTCTTGACTGAGTAATTTAACTTTGTGTTCATACGGATGACATTCTGAAAGAATCTACAGAGTTAAACACCAATAATCTATGGACACACGTTTGAGATTGAAGATATTCCTAGTATGATCGTTACGAACTTTTGTGCAGAAAGTGCCGAATGGTAAACAACAAATAAGTGCCTACCAGAGAACAATGTTTTTACTCGTGGATTATATTATGCACCCGTCGTCAAATTATTGTTATGGACTGGTCGAGAATTTAATAGTCCTGACGCAAGAAAGACGGAAATCAGAAGACCACTAGGTTTCCGATGATACTTCTATTTTCCAAAACACAAAGAGAATCAATGTCACACAAGAGTGTGAGAGCAAATATATATGAATGTCTGAACAAGTGTGTGGACACAAGTGTGCGAGCGAATATTCAAAATGAACAAATCAATAGACAGTCTTAACGTGATTGGCTAATTATAATGGAATATCGATCCATATATACATAGCAGAATATATCAGACTGTCAAACAAAACACACATATTATATGGATACATCACCAAGATCAGACTGTCAAACAAACACACATATTATATGGATATATATATCACCTCCCCTTTTGAGAAGATTGATGATTAGTAGGGTGTTTTCTTGGGGGTTTATCTGGAACCGTTGAGCTTGTTGTTGACGTCTGTCGCTTCGTCTGCCTGTTGGGTTTGCGGCTTCGGCTTCGTCCGGAATTGTCTGACATTTTATGTTTCTTGGCTGCATTGCATAGAGAATTTAGTGGGACATCAGCCAGATGCAAACGATCGAACCAATCAAGTCCCAAAAGATTTAAATCACTCTTGGTGACGTAGCAAATTCCTGTGAATTTGATATTGCGGAATGAAACAGAACATTTGAGTTCACCAATTAGTTTGAGCCGCCCACCACAGGCGCTGACAGCAGTCTGAGAAGTATTTGCGATTGGTGGTCTGCCAATATTATTCCAAAGTTTCTCTGATATAACAGTAATATCAGAGGCGGTATCTAGCTGCAGACGTGCATCATGACCATTCATCTGAAGGTCAATATATTTCCGCATACCTGGTGTTGTGACTTGACAGGTTGCGACTAGACTCATTGACCTTTTTGGGGATTTAGGACCAACAGTTTGTCGAGCTTTCGCTGGATTATGATATCTGGGTTTGCGTGGCTGACAAAAACCATTTTTATGACCAATGATTTTGCACTTGCTGCAACGATGATTTTTGTATGGACAAGACTTTACAAAGTGCCACGCGCCACAATGCCAGCATGGTGATGGTGGGGTCTTCTTTGCAGTATTTTGTGAAGTTGGACGAGTATGTGTAGATTTCCGCGGAACATTAGAAGAAGGTGGGTCAGGAGTGGATGATGAGAGATTTTTGCTCTTTCGTAATGCATGAATATCAGAGCTTCTCGAAGGTGTTGATTCGACCAGGTGTGTGTCTTTCTGCAAATTAATCAGCCGTTGATATTCATCAGCTATGTCATGTAATGTTAACTTAGGATTTTTTTCTAGCTGATTGAGCAGTCGAGTTCGGATATCTGTGAAACGAGGAGATTGAAGACTGCATATGAGAATCAAGGCTTTGAATTGATCATCTGTTAAGGACCTGAGTCGAAATCTCTCACATTCTCGGTTGACTGTGCCAACGTGAGTAAGAAAATCATCATTTTCATTCATTGTCAGCTTGAGGAAACGATAACGTATGCTGAATAATGAGGAGTGGTCTCCAAAATGTTCACGCAGCAGCTTTATTGTATCATCGAAACACTTGTCACGTGGTTTTTGGGGTAAAATTAGGTTGCAGTACCTCTCATATTCTGCGGGACCCAATTTACGTAACAACACTCGCACCTTCCAAGCATCGTCTTGTGAGGCGAGATCAACAGTGAATAAATCCTCATATCGTTGATACCATGTGTCAAAAGTGACATTCGCATCTGGATTATAATTGAACTGTGAAATACTATTCACAATTCCGTCGACAGATGGTAGCATGGTATGATTCAGATTGCTTGAAGGTGAAGTTGGACCAGTCTGTTGGTTGACGAACATTTCCATTAATTTCATTTGTTGTTCAAATAGTAATTCCAATTTAGAAGAGTCCATAGTTTTCCCCGTCGCCAAATTATTGTTATGTACTGGTCGAGAATTTAATAGTCCTGACGCAAGAAAGACGGAAATCAGAAGACCACTAGGTTTGCGATGATACTTCTATTTTCCAAACACAAGGAGAAGCAATGTCACACAAGTGTGTGAGCGAATATTCCAAATGAACAAATCAATAGACAGTCTTAACATGATTGGCTAATTATAATGGAATATCGATCCATATATACCTAGCAAATATAACAGACTGTCAAGCAAACACACATTATATGGATATATATCAGATTAACCTATAAATTTAGGTTTGTTTTCCATCACTGAAACACTTTAGCAGTGTCAATTTTTGTCTAATAACAATAATAAACAAAGAAAGTTATTCTAAAGTGACAGAATTTAGCAACTATTTTGAAAATATAATATTAATAGTCCTGAAATATGCGTCGGTGCCATAGCGGTTAGGACGCTCGCCGACCATGCACATGGTCCGGGGTTCGATTCCAGGTCGACGAACTCCTTTACCTCACCAAGCCAGAAATAATGTTGGTAAAGGTTAGGCATGAGGCTAGCAACCCCATCGTGTAAAATAAACACTTCTACAGAAAATTCAAGCCACTAGCTCGAAGCCCCATGTCCCCCTGGGGAACACGAAGGAAAAATAGTCCTAAAATGTATTGTAATCCACAGATGGATGTTACAGTCATTTGGTGTTTAGCTAAAAGTTGTGTGAGCCATGAGAAACCAAAATGACCAAATTGATCTCATATTATACGAGTACAATAACATTTTCCTCAAAAAATTCTATGAACTCACTTGGCTACCTGCTCAGCACCAGCAGCTTCGGCAGCAGCAATATCTTCAACTCCACTGAACTCATTATTGGAAAAGTCAGTTGTCAACAGGTCAGCTCCTGTAACTTGATCACCATATGTGTCACCTGTCCAAGATGAACCTGGATGAGCACGTCGTAATAAATTAGGTTGACGATAAACATGACCAGTTCGAAAACCTGCACTATCCAGAACACGCATTTCTGCTTCAAATTCAAGTTCTTCAGGGGTCCATGAAACCTCTGACATACAAATAGATATGGGAAGTTTATAATCAATTGTAAGTAGGACTACATAGGAAAGTAGAATTAAGAGTAAATGCACTTACTTAAATGCATCAAAAACAGAGAATTCGTCTCCATATTCGAAAAAGGGATTGTAAGAACTAGGTGCTTATTATGCAGCTTAATAACAAGGATTGAGTAGTTATCATCGAGGTTAGTTGTATTGGAGTGAGAGCAGGCTTCTAACCAAATTGGTAGACAGTAATTTACGTCGATGTTTATGTCCCCAATATTGGTCGTGAGAAAAATAAGAACAACGACTTTGCGTAGGCGGATACAGTTAGTATATAGATGATCTGACAATCAAGTAGCAGCCAAAAAGAGATGAAAGATTAACTTTCAGTGAGAAACAATCAATCAGAAGACCGTGTTTTTCTGCTAACAATAATGTATAATAATCTACATGAAAATCTATAAATATGTGTTGATTTCCTTAATAAACGATCTGTTGTCTGGCTCTTTCTTCGTTTGTTACAGTATGATCCACTATATGATATAACTAGGTAAAATCTGTGTTAACCTTGAGGCTGAAAACTCTGCTTCTTCATTATGTAACAAGATGCATAGTTAACAGCTTCACTATAACGCCTGACGTATAAAATACTTTTACCCTTGTCAGTCGGTAAGCATTTTTAAAAGACAAAAAAGGACAAATTTTGAAAACCCTTAGAAGAAGGATTAGTCCTGAAAAACCCATCAGTTATTGTTATAAGTATAAAACTTGGGCACTGTGGTAGAGTATAACTCCACTATGGATAAGATTTTATTTTGATAAATCACAGTGTTGTACACGGTTATATTAACTGATAATAATATAACTGTACAACACTGTGTGATTTATCAGAATAAAATCTTATCCATAACGGAGTTAAAACTCATCAGTATTAAATTACGCTCACGTGCTTATTATTGTATTACCCTGAATGTATACACACAGGTCCACCATTATTCCTGAACACAACAGCACTACCATTATAACCAAAACAAAAATCCCGACCTCATACGATGAGACGACTGGTCAGTAAAGGTTGGTCAGCACAGCATAAAAAATTAAACAACGCCAACGATGAGGATTAACCTGAAGAAATTTACACGTAGAAGAATATTCTGTAAAAAAAAATTGCTGAATCAACTGCTTCCGACCATTAAGCTGTAGACTATATGCCGCACTCAGTCTACAGATAGCCCAGGCACTACAGGGATAAGTGTGCCTAATCAGATAGGGGCCCAAACCGAGTTAACCATTCCGATGATTTCGTCGATCCCAGAACAGGCACTCATACACTAATTCAATAGATGGTTTCTGGGGAAGATTAAAAAATAGGATAAGAGCGATAAATGACTCTCAAAACCAAGTTATTTTCAGTCACCTAGGTGAATATATGTGTAGAAATTGGTTTAATTTAAAAACTGACACTCCCCATTCTAATTGGGACATATTTTTATTTTCTTTTAGAGAAAAATACCCTGTTTGGTGTTTTTTCATGCTTCTTTATGTAAATATACGTAATTTTTGGTCTAAAAGTACCTTATTTTTCTGATTGATCGGCTCAAGGCCACTCGTGTGTTCGCATCCCTTGGGACGCTCATGTTGAACTTTGCCCAGTAATCAAATGCTCCATCTCCGCAGAATTCGCTAACCAAATCTATAAACGCAAGCACAATTTCTGCTTGGAATGACCCTCGGAAGCCCCCGACGAATCCGATTGGTCCATCAGGGCAAACTTGAAAGACCTTGGATGTAGCTATGATACTTTAACTTCACCGGAGAGTTACATCACATCCTATACATATGTTCATCTAAATGACCATAAATGACATCGCTTTGCGATCCATTAATGGCTCTAATCCTATTTTTTGACCTTCTCCGAAAGCCTTCTGTAGAATTGGTGTGGGTCCCTGTAATGGGATCCACAAAATCATTAGAATGGTTGACTCTGTGGTGAATATATCCAAGGGATGACAAGGAGTTATAACCTTTCCACTCATCTTTGTGTATTATAGATCCTTCTTTCACCAGTCGAGTAATAATAGGTACTAAAGTACTTGGCTTTCTCTCTGCTGTCCTCTCGATGAATCCTTTCCGTTAGAGAGGCATATAAGCCAGTCACCCAAACATTATTCGCTCGTTCTCGAATACGGTTGTATTTTTCTGTAATAAGAAAGGTTCATCTACACGTACGACGATACCTTCTCCTCCCAATAGGGAAGTAAGCCTCTCTATTTTCCAGGATGCGATATCCCTGAGTTTCAGGCTATCATTCTTTAACATGCGTAAGTATTGGACTAAAACTTTCTCAGGAATTGGAGGTTAGAGAAAATTGACACTAAAATTCATATTTTAAGTAGACTATTCTAGTTGGTCTGCGGTAATGACGCCCCATGTGTGTCCATATTTGTTTACAAAGATGCTGACACCGAGTGGCGTTTAACCGATTACAAGAGGACGTATTTAGAGAGAAGTTGCATTACGACCTAGAAGAAGATAAATCAGTGGAGCCGTGTTTCATTGGTTTAGGCACTACACTTCCAACCAATTGGTTACGAATTAGAAGCGCGCTCCACCTATCAAAGTTTCGGCTGGACAGCTAGGTATTGTCACTAGCCCTGAGGGAATAAGGTGTGGCTCAGTGTTAACTGCATGTAATTACAAGTGGTTGTTGAGTAACGTTCCAAGTTCTTTATATGAGAAAGTGGTTATTCGGTATACGGCGTATATAGTGTACTGTGCATTAACATAGGAAGTTGATTTCCATACAGTGGTTCCCGAATTCAAATCCCTTTCTATCTGAAGAAGCTCAATTATTCCCTTAGCATCTTGTAAACCTGTGGACTGAGTACGGCTTATGGTCTCTAACAAAATAAAGGAATACTAGTCAATTGAAACATGCGTAGTATTTAGTTGATTATACCAGAGACGGGGTCATAAAACTAATGTAATTGCTAGCTGGTTCATTTTACTTATTAATCTGTATTATAAGTAGATTGATTTTATAGGTCGTTTCTCAAATATGAAGGCATCCACTCCCTGTGACTTATGATCTTCAATGAAACTGTTTTGTATTTCTTTATTACTCCTTTGTCTCACACCTCTGCTCACTGTTTCTATTATGCTTTTCTTGTACTTTCTTCTCTTGCTTCGCGTGCTACACGGAATGTGGCGACTTGAACTTCCGCACATTTGTGCAAAGTTCTATGTCGAAAACAGACAGACAGTTTAAGAAATGGACGACATTTCTTGACTTAAAAGGTAAAATTTGACGTGATCTTAAACAAGGGGAACTACAAATTAGGTAGGTGAAGTTATTAGAGAAAGCTTAGAAGCATTTGGGTGTTCGAATATGAAAGCTGTGCTTAGTGAGTGAATATAGTCAATGTAGTTATAGGGGATAGCTAGACGAGTTATTGAGCTACTGGGAATTAAATTACACATTTAAAAATACGGCTCACCTCCGTTGTCACTGCTTGTTTTCCCATTTAATAATGCTGAATCATTTTTTTCTTGATGATTTAACGCATCCGATTCCTCTTCTTCGGGATGATCAGCTTTACTATCAGCTAACCGTGTTGCACTGTCCTTCAAGTCAGACAATAAACTTGCTCCATCGCTTAGTTGCATCAGACGCATCTGGAAAATAAAATACATGGATCGATTACTGACACATCTGTGAGTCAACTTCGACACACAATGCAGATGACATTAAAAATGCTGAAGTCAGCCACATAATTTCTGACCAATTTGGGAACTACTGAGCCACAGCATGAACACTAGGTGTAATATAAGAAGAAACTTTATTTTCAACTTCAAAGTAAAAGTATATATATATATATATATATATATATATATATATATATATATATATATATGTGAGCATTCAAAGTTCTAGGACAAGAAAAATGTAGGGCTACTTACTTGTGTTTGACAGGCAGTTATCACTCGCTTAACTATATACCAAGCTTCAGGAATGCTAGCGGCGGCGACTGCTACTCCATGATTTCGCAGAAACAGCACTTTTGCTTAGGACCTAAGTCTTTTTCAATGCTAGCACGCTCCGATTCATCGACGAGAATACCTCGGTATTCATGATAACGAACACCATGGTTTGAGATTAGTTCGATAGCTTCTGGACTTACAGGCAGCAAACCTGCACGAAGACAGGACACCTACATTAGGAAAACATTGGAGGAAATACAAAAGAATGTTAGACATGTTATTTGTATCGTATTATGTGCTTAATAAAACAGTCTGTTAGATCATACTGTATAACTGGATAAATGGAATGCTAAAATCAGAAAGGTGCTCTTCCGTTAGTTACTAGATGTGGTCACTATCTTAATCCCTACTTCAGTAAAAACCTCAGAAATCTCAGAGTTCACTTGATGTGGTACATACTGATACAATATTAAATGTTGTATAGTATTATGCAGACTATTAGTTAAAAACTGTACGTGCCTATCTACCACCTACTATGATGACTACGATGTAAGCAGAGTGGAAAAACTTAAAATACTTTCTCCTGGCTTCTTACTAAATACATTTAGGTTATTCCCCTTTGACCTGATTTGAGAAGTGTTATATTTTGGACCTATAAGCTGAAATCTTTAATCCTACAGTTTTATCTGTCTTGGAATTTGATACTTCAACATACTTTGTAGGACCAATTGAAGCGTTAATTTCAGGAGATTAGTGAGACCATCAAGTCAAAATTTCTAATTTCAATTAACAGGTAAAATCTTGTACAAAATAACTTACTGCTATTACATCCGGTAAATGAACGTGAATGATACAGTTGATATCCTTACGGGTTGAATGTAGTGCAGAATGAAGTGTCCAACCGGCTTTATTTACACCCAACACTGAACTACCTTGATCGACGATATTGCCTACAATGACCAAAACATTATAAACGTAATCACTTCTATACGGCGGATTAAATCATATTTATTATTTAAACGAAGAAAAACTTGGTACAATATGGCAGCAAGAAGATGAGCCACACAATAATAATAAAACAACATAGAGTAAAAGTAAAAACATAAGTGGAGAACAGATAAAGAACTTCATCTGGAAGGAAAACAGCCATGCTTAACAAATTCAAACCCTATTCATCAACTATCATCGCCACTGATTACGATTCTTGGCCATATCCGATAACGTTTAGATGCCATCGATTCGAGCTATCTCTCTCGGACTCCAACCAGGGAGTCGTGGGGCACCAACCGATGCTAATCTAGCACAAATACCGTTTATCCCACGACGCCATGTCATGGACTGACCACCTTACCGCCTTTTCCATCCCGTCTCAGGGCTAGCGAACACAGACCTGTACGGAAGCCTCTGGGATGACATTCGCAGCCCATGTCCAAGTCACCGATATACCGGTGTTTCGAGATGGAGACACTCAACAAATGGTGGTTTCTACTGTGTTCAAACACACGCCAACGAAACTCAGAATTACTCATCCGATGATACCAATGAACGCAAGCAATCCTGTGGAGACACCGATGATCGAAAACGCAGAGCTGCCGCACATCCCCAGCTCGAAGAGGTCAGGTTTCACAGGGGCAGAGGAAAAACAGCCCGCACCGAAGCATTGTGTACCTATTGAGGACTCGTCGCAAAATTATTGTTATGGACTGGTCGAGAATTTAATAGTCCTGACGCAAGAAAGACGGAAATCAGAAGACCACTAGGTTTCCGATGATACTTCTATTTTCCAAAACACAAGGAGAATCAAAATATGTCACACAAGAGTGTGAGAGCAAATATATATGAATGTCTGAACAAGTGTGCGAGCGAATATTCAAAATGAACAAATCAATAGACAGTCTTAACGTGATTGGCTAATTATAATGGAATATCGATCCATATATACATAGCAGAATATATCAGACTGTCAAACAAAACACACATATTATATGGATACATGTCACCAAGAACAGACTGTCAAACAAACACACATATTATATGGATATATATATCACCTCCCCTTTTGACAAGATTGATGATTAGTAGGGTGTTTTCTTGGGGGTTTATCTGGAACCGTTGAGCTTGTTGTTGACGTCTTTCGCTTCGTCTGCCTGTTGGGTTTGCGGCTTCATCCGTCACTCCTCCGCCAGCACTCACACAACTACCCATATACATACGCTTATGAACAACTTCAAGTGGTTCATCTGCAATAGTGAGTGCAGGTAAATGCTCCTGAAAATCTTGTAACAGTACTTTACTATGCACTTATACGGAGCAAAACACATACCATACTTACAGACACTGATCGCCAACTGATTAAGTGCGATTTGGGCAGCCTGCATGCTATCGCACAGTAAGACGATATCGCCTGCATATTCGAAGTTGAAAAGTCTATCTCCAGGGAGCAGATCTGCACCACCGTCACACACATCCTTTGAAGCTGACTCTAGAATGTCATCGATTGCAAAGTTAAAGAGAAATGGAGAGATCGGGCAATTCTGTCTAACCCCATTGATGGTCGGGAACAGTGATGATAGTTGGTTATAAGCCCAGGTACACCCCTTTCCAACAGACAGTTCCACAGCACAGTTCTGTGGTGTGGTGGTGTTCCAACAACTGACGAAGGATGAAAACATGATCAATACATCCACAAGCTGAACGAAACCCAGCCTATTCTTCGCGAATCAATCCCTCACGTGTTTTGCACAGCCTGAGAAGCAAGGCAACACTTAATATTTTAGACGTATCTGGTAGCAGACTGATACTCCTATGATTGTCACGTTAATTACGTCGACCCTTTTTAAAGGTGGAGACGATAATGACTTCGTTGCACATTGATGGTACACTCTCAATCTCCAATACCTTCCTGAATAATCCAGTTAGAGCCATTACAAGAGTCTTACCACCATCTTTAAAAAGAGCTGGGGATAGATTGTCTGGATTACATCAAAATAAAATTACATACTTTATAACCAACTTGTGACCATAGGAAGAACGAGACAACTGTCGAGAAACGGTCATGGCATTACTCACAGGCGGAAAGACGAATTAACCACATTGGATACCGATTACAACACATAGACATTTGGTCAATACCTATTCATTATGAAAGGTATAGGGATGAGATGTTAGTAACAAAACTAAATAGTACTTAGTTTGATGATATCGCTAACCATCACTTTAAGAATTGGCTACGACTAAAAACCAACAGACAAAACTAATTAACAGTATTGGTTGAAACCGGAAAATTGTCCAACTGTATTGCAGATAATCTTTTCAAAATAACGCTAAGACACTGAAAAATGTTAGATGCTACATGACAAGGTAAAGATTCGTACAAGAAATAAGGGACACCTACTGAGTGAAGTTTGATGATAATGCCTGGCGAGCTAGACCCTAGAACGTAGGATGAAGATCAAATGGTCGAAATACAGCGACTCAAAACAAGTGATACAGATACTTGCATCTACCCTCCCCTTACTGTCAGCTACGTTTCATCAGTTCCGTTCCCGGTCGAACAAGAGCTACATTTGTGCAGAACCTCCACCGTTAGTCTAGACATCAGTTTTCTTTACTTAGGATTCACTTAGTTGTAGGAACCTTAATCACCGAAACGGAATTATCACACCGCTATAACAGTGATCTGATAATATAAATATTAAATATTTTTACATCTGATGCTGAGTAGACATTGATAGAATAAAAGCCAAACCTCAGGCTGAAGTCCCAAGATTCACAAGACCACAAAAGTAAAACTGAGGAAATTGAAAAAACCCTTGAGTAAATACCAGTTCTCCTAGTTTTATCAAGGTGAACCCAAAAATGAGAATTAATAAAATACAGCGCAGAAGACAGAATTATTTTGAAACTAAGACCGAAAAGCCAAATAAAAGAATGTATGCTGTCACGCAATGAACCAATTGCCAATACCAAGCAGAACTAAGACGCTGTGAAGACTAACTTATAAGATAAAAACAGTAAGATAATATCCGATGCACACAGTTACTAACAATAATAAGATTAGAATTTATGGAAAGGGAAGGATGTTGGTAAATCTCACAATAACGTTATCCGACAAAATATGGGGAGATTTGGCTGATAAAATATGGAATCACAGCTCTAGTCTAGGGGTTAACACAGTCATTGGACAGATTTCAACAAACTGCCTTTGAAACTATCAGTCATTGTATATTGATTAGGTTTTCATTGCGGTGATTGTGTGTAAATAAGAGGTCACTTCGTTGAAGTTGTTGCGAGTTACTTATTTGCAGTATAAAGATGAAGTACTCCTTGAAGTCAAAAAATGGACCTTATGCTTAGAATAACTGAAAAATTGTGGCTTTTTAAGTTATGAAACATTACTGAAATGATCGCATGGATTACAATAAAGGGATAAAAATAAGTATAACATGAGGTGCTTTGTTTCAGACGCCAAGAAATCCAGTTTTAATTCACATCAGATATTTAGTCAGTGTTTATTCGTTTAACACACTGTCAGTGCAACACAGTGACCAAGAAATGAGTCACAATTTGATGAGTGTAAAGTACTTTGTTCATTGTCAGTGGTACACAGATCATATTTATCATTCAATAACAGATGGCTACAATAAAGCCTACTTACCATTGGCATCTATTTTCACTAAACTAGATGCCTGAATTTCGTGGTACAGTAAACCAAACGGATTGATCAAAAAATGATTGGGATTTGTGGTGCACCTTGCCTAAAATAAAAAACCAATAGAGTAAATCAGTAAAGAAAAAGGGGAGAAGACTACTTATTGCACTAGTGGAGAAATAAGAAGCAATGAAAATATGTAAAATGCATGAAGTAGTCACGTAAAGGAAAACAATTTATCAGAGTTGGGAGTCACCTGCCTAGTTCTACTTATATGCCCCTAGCTGTATAGGAATTAATGATACTAATCAAAGGAAACTACTGTAAAACTTCACAACTACGTTTTATCATTATGTCATTCTTCCCACGAATTGTGTATTCTGCAATGATTTCATTTGCGGTAAAGTGATTTGATACACTGCCAGTTTCGTCACACTAAGTGTACTTGCTAGACATTTCAAACGGTGATGTATCGAACTGCTTCAATGACTGCAAAACATTTCTAGTGAATATTTCGGAAGGTGCACACACATATGCAATGAGCAATACAACACTACTCAGTGAATAGAAAAGTTAGTTATCAAGTTGCTTAACAAACATCTACCAAATTAGCAGAGTTACAATATGCGAAATATGCCCTTATGAATAGGATTTCATAAAATTCTTACAATTTTTTGTCATAACATACTTCCGATTAGTGGAATTACTAAATCGAGGACTAGTGCTTAATTTATAATTGTTCAAGGACATAATGAGTATTAGTATCTCCGGACGCTTTATCATATACATACGTTGTTAACAGCGCAATGAAAGTAGATATCATATACGCGAGTAATACAGAACTATTTAACTGCCCTGAAATCGTCTTCAGTGTAAAACCATCATGCTATTGTAAACCGACAAATCTAAGTTTGTAACACTCGCTTTAGCTCCCTCAATCATTGAAATTCTGACTTGAGGTACTCACAAACTTAATGACTGAAAAATAATTTTAAATGAAATATCCAAACTGTATGAAAATTTATTGGTGCATTTTTCAAATGTTTCCGGTTACTGAGTGTTAGTTTTAATACCAAGGAGTTAATGTAACTATAGAAGCAGATATATTAAGGATAGATAAATATATATATATATATATATATATATATATATATATATATATATATATATATATACACGACATTGAATTCGCTACATTTTAGATAAACGTAACGTGCAACAATAAGATGACCTGCTTTAAGTCCACAGAAAGGAGTAAAATAAAAGTACACCATTTACTCACAGATATATGATTATATATTGAGTGTGTCCATCCTCTCATATCTATTAAACGATATAATGCAGCCAGACTGCGTCTCAGTACGCAGTCTTCACGATGATAGGCAGCGGCTTCTTCACCTCGCAGGTCATTTATGGGGATTGTTGGAAGGCTACCTAACATGGGAATTAATACAAAGAAAATTAATACTTACGGAAAACTAAAAATCGGTTAGAGAAACGGGATAGTATTGTTATGTATTATGTATATGTAAAAAAAAGCACAACAAAACACCGAACAACAAGTAATTACTTACGCTGACAGCCGGTACCAACTGACTTGAGTACCTCTAGAGAACAATCGTAGATTGAACAAAAAGATAAATACGTATTAGACTACCATTATCTTGCCAATAAACAAGATTAAATGTTTGTCTATCATTAAAAAAACAAAGACTGAAAACATTAAAATCATCGATTTTAAATCTCAGCATCTCATTCCATTTCTTCAGAACGTCATAAGCAGTACGACCAAGGACGATGCGTGAACGCATCGAAGTTATGCAGTAACTTTGGTCTGTGTTACCAGATCAGTGGACACAATTTCATGATGATTTTTATGATGAACAGTTAGAGTAACTGACCAACAGAACATATGTTTCAGCTCGATTTTAGCGATGATGACAAGACAATAAAACTTCTGTTTACTAGTCTATTATGTGAATGTGAATGTGTACTTAGTGAGTTGCTTTTACGCCATGTGAATAACTTTGATCTGCTTCACAGTCTCCAAGATCTTAGATTTTTAGTATCCGCGGAAAACAGTCTCTTTAAGTGACTCAAACTAACAACCTCTGACTGCATATATGGATGTCATATCTCGGTCTAGTCACCAAGCCAGTCTCACTTCAGTTAACACTATTCAGTCAAGGTAGGGGTCCGGTAGACAAAATGTACTAGCCACCTGAAACTACAAAGCCTTACAATCTCGTCAATCAATTTACTTTCATTATCAGCTGTGTTGCTACAATTTGTGAGAAGTGAATGAGAAATCGACGATTTAAAGTCATATCTTACTTACAGACAGGAAGTAGAATGGTGCACCGCTTCAAGTAGCTCCATATCCCGTCTGCACCAAAAACAACTTAAAATAGTAATAAAAGGATGTTCTTCAAACATCTTGTTCACCGTTGAACTAAAAGTCATATTTCCTGATTTAAGAGCACATCTATACACTTGAATTAATTTTCCTTTGTAAGATTTATTTCTGAAAACAGGTAGTAGAAACTCACAAAGCAATACTAGTATGTGAAATTAAGAATGCTAAAGCTGATGGCACGATTGCACAAACAACATAAGAATCGTGTAACTATCGTCGGGTGCCTGCAAGTTATCATGTTACTGAAAGAAATATTCTATACCTACCAACGTATACAAGTGATGAAGACAAACATACTAATTATATTACTTCAATAAATAATTCCATCATGGGTAAAATCTATTTTGATAAAATCTCTGTGTTATACAGTAATATTTACTGATGACGTTCCGGGCACAATTTATTGCTCATAATAATATCAAGGAGATACAATATGCTTATGAGCAGTAAATTGTGCACGGATCATCATCAGTAAATATTACTGTATAACACTGAGACTTTATCAAAATGAATTTTATCTACAGTGTAGTTGTACTCGATCACAGTGCACAAGTTCTATCATATCACTGGAATAAGTAGTTGTAGAAACTTGTTGTAACTCTGAAATATCCCCTAAAGAAACATACTGTGAAGACTTCATTATTCACACAGGTTATCCAAAGTGCTACTTTTTACACTAATTATGTATGACTTAGAAAAAGACAAAGTGTGATGGTGACTACCTAGAAGTGTAAGGTTACTACACATCTGAAAGATATCAGTAATATCTTCAGAAATGACGTGTCTTACTGTCGCAGTCACAGACAAATGGAGAGAATCATCAGAAGAGTACGGATTCAGTAGTAAATACATAAGAATAATGGCCGAACTATAAAGTATTTTGACAGCCAAGAATAATCGTAAAGAACAGAATCAGGGAATGCTTTTCAGGTACAAAACATGGTAAATACAGTTAGGTGACTCAGTTCGCTTTCAAACAACTACCTACTTTTCCCTGAAGAACTAGTCGTTTCTATTATATGCTGAACACGATCAGAATAGTGCCAGACTGAACTCCAAGAAAATAAACAGAAGACAAAATGATTGCTAGAACATATAGGAAGGTGAATTTCTCTCCAAGTCCATAAGTTATTCAGCAGGATTTGAATTACTATTTGTACAAGGAACAGTGTAAGCTACAGAGCTGTGACAGAATAATACATGTCTACACTGCTTTTAATAACGATGATAACAATTTCTAGCACCTTACTCCTCAGTGGCATTCAAAATGCCATATGTATAAGAACATGGAGTGAAATATTTCCTAAATGGAGTAACAATGGGAAACTACCCACACGCAAATAGATGAAACACTCTAGGAATTACGTGCAAGTTTGTGAGAATCAGTGATTCCTAATTAGTATGTATATTATCTGGTTCTTTAAATCTCTGAGGGTATAGGCAGTATCGTAACCGTGACTTACTAAGTTATCTATCAATTCGAATTATATTTCAATGGCTGTTTACACAATCATAATTTTTACTTTTGGTAATATTTCGAGCAAAATCGAAACTTATTGTGCATAGACAACTACAGAAATAGGGTAATGAATTGACCTATTCCACAATGCACAAAATTCTCACCGATATCGTGAAGCAGTCAACTTTTCGGAAAGATCTATATAAAAGTCCGGGTTCTGAAGCACATATCAACGTACAAATACATAAACACATGATACCAGCCTAAGTCGTCACACTACAACAGAACAGCAACATAGAAAAGCTTATTAGGTGAGAGAATACTAGAAAAAACATTCAAGTAGATACAAGCACTGAATACACCAAAAACTTGAAACCAACTACCCGGAAATTGAGTAATTACCAAAAATCGTCACTGAAATTGATCTATAAGAATGAAAGGTTGTTCGGTCCCAAGAATGTAACATTAACAGAACGCAATGGTCTACAGTCATCTTTCTGACAATTTTGTTTTTTAATCCTGATTAGTTTCTCAAGATGAGTTGTAAGTTTGGTAGGGATAGCTGCTTTAGTTGATTTTCGAAACCATTAACTTTAGTAGGAAACTTTCGCACTCAAATGAGAAATCGACAACCTAACAAATAGCGGCAGTAAGCCAATACGGTTTGGTCACCCATAACTCACTAGTGGGAAGTCGAAGCATTACCTACTCTCAACACACTACGAGTCAGTTTGTTGCCGCTCGGACTACATGACATTCAACAATTTGGCTTCAGTCGTATTCACATCTCACTCAGTCGTAAAGAAGAGATAATGGGGTTATGGTTAGTAGTCACGAGAATTGGTACGGTTCTACAGTTTATTAACTCAGATACCTAGGAAACGTATGAAGAGTTACATGATATGAAGTGGCATGACAAAAAATTAGCCTGACATGTGCATAAATGAGTGACTGGAATCCTCTTTCGTTAAAATCATACGAAAAATAAGTACCATGGCTCTTACCTTTTAAATCGGCTACATTTTCCAATCTCATAGTTTGGCCTAAAAGACTGGATAACTGCTGAAGTGCACTGCCCTGTTTGTGTCCAGGATGCTCGAAATGGCTAGTGTTCGTATTGAAAGTACTTGTATTTTCCTCTTTAGTGTTGTGGTTCGAAAGACCTTTTTTCACATTTTGACTGAAGTCATCATCACTCAAGCCTATTATATTCGAGTTGAGAAAATGGCAACTACCAGATAATGCATTGTCACTATAATCTGTCGTCATATCCCACTAAAAAATTCGCAGACTGATGGACATTAAAATGATTTTAGTTATGTTCCCCAACTAATTCCGTGAACAGATTAGAGTAACCGAAGTACGCAACGCAATAAACACCGTAGAGGAACGATAGCTTTTAATACACGCGCTGACAATATCTCTCACGGGAGATTTAAAACAATGGAAACATATATCACAGATCATGTTTCAGTATTTATATTCCTAAAGGATGACGTTTTGAGGAAAAAAACGGTGTTTGAATGAAAAAGCACGACGTTTTCCCGAGATGGGGAGTCTACATCAAACGCAATGGCTAAACAAGGTTCTCTAGGTAATGGTTATAATACTCGAAACATTTCGGGTCGATTTACTTGTAGGAAACAATTTTTGGGTACAGCTAATGTGTTAAATGTGAAAAATTTACATACGGTGGTTGTCTGTAAGCTACAGGTACAAAAATAGCGATTAAATTCAAACTTAGGGCCTTCATTCTACTACTTATTCAGTATCAGTTTCGATAACCTCAAGGCACAAGATGAAGGCATTTAGTTCCTTTTTTACATGAATAGAAACGTGGATACCCCTTGAATGAAAAATATTTTAGCTTAATCAATCCTGTGTAAAACGCTTAGAAAAAACTTTCCAGCTGTTTCATATCCCATTACTGCATGTTTCGGAGTGTATACTAGGTGTTCCATTTATTTACGAAGATTCAAGAAAGTGTTGATCACTAAATTCCTCCTTCCAAATATATACACAAAGGATACAGAGGACTTCTAGGAATTTAGGAGTATGTGTATCATAGTGGACTTCTCACATTTTATCTTCTTGCACGCAACAGTCTCTTTTTTCGGTGTATAGGACACTCTGGACAAGTATCTTCACTTCTTTCTCTGGTGGTATGCACGACCCTGAGCACTAGTTCGAACTCCAGTTTTACCTCTTTCCATTGTGTTATTAACACTCATCCTGTGAGTTTGTTATTCAGCTATACTTGTCAGATATGACCTAGGTCCCTTTCTCTGAATAATATCCAATTTTTATTTCAAATCAAAGATACTGCTCATCAGAGGATATTTCCAACTAACTGAGTCTTTTTGATTTTGCCCTTGTTGTCAGTAATTATAAGTTAGGTGGAGTACTGATTTATTGCACAATTGAAGGAATTACGCCTGTTTCAGGGTCGGTGTAGTGAAGCTTACCAATATTACCACGTGTAACATACAACTCAGAGGCCCAAATCTCACTATCTGCCACATCTCACTCCTAATTCATCAATATCTCAATTTCTTTCATCGGTTACTCCCCAATCATTTTCTCATAACAGGTTATTATCACTTGTGTATTTGTGTTATTTTAAACCGCTGATATCTTATTATAAGATATCACGTAAGTTGTCTTAACATGGCTGAAACTGACTATCCCGTGCAGACGTCGGTTATATCGCGGCTCCTCATCTTCTGGGCGACTCAGCCTTGTTCCTCGTTCCCACATGTTGAAGCCAAATTCGCTCTGCGGCTTATTCACTCAAAAGAAACTAAGGCTAAATTAACCATTATGATCCTTCCCGGAAATATCATGAAATACGCTTCAGCTCTTCTTGACAACCCCTCCCTGAACCTTAGAGATCTCCAGAAAGACGCGCTAATCTAGGGAGTAATGCTAACTGACTAACAACAGGTACAAGAACTCTTCAGAGATATTCAAACTAGAGGTCGTGATCCCCCTCAAATGCCTAGTTAGATGAAACTGCCAGTTACTGTCTTAAATACCCAACAGAACCTTCTTTTAACAATTGTGATTGCGGAGTTTTCCTCACAAAGTTCAAGGAATTCTTGCACCATCTTACAAATTACTTTTGAAGGAATTAGCAGAGTTAGCTGATAGAGCCACCGAGGCCACCAGATCATTCACCAGTATTTCTTCAGCCCTGTCTATCAACACCTCATACCACAAGGACCTCCATTAAACGGGTGAATTACCCATTCTTGACATCACACAAATAAGTCAGTTGTGTAAAAGGTGTAGAAGTTCTTCGTTCACTCACACACTTCGCTATCACGGCAAATTTTCTTCGCTTCGTGTAAAAAGACGACTGACATCGAAAAACTTACAACTTATAACCTGTCAGCGCCATAGACGTATTTTTGCCACTTCAAGAAGGTGTATTTGTCCCTGCACCTTTGATACTAGTAGGTCCAGAAACGTGTGAGTTAACAAATAGTGGCGATTAACTTTGATTGCAAACTGCTCCTTTGTCGTCTCTTCTATGTCACAAATTGTAACTATAGGATACGCTTCCTGGTTGGTACTGGGCTAGAAGCCAGTTTAATACCACCGACAGAAAAATGGCCTCAGTGGTCAACATCTCTTCAGCTACGCTACTCTAATTTTCCTACTATCACAAATCATGGCAGAAGGCCTTTAGACAGTAACATCGGACTTCGCAGTTCTTCCTATCGGGTTTCCGTCATGGCCGACGCGATTGTTGACATTAATGGTATGGACCTCTTGCAGTACTATCAGGTGCTAGTTTATTGGCAAACATAATTTGATTGATTCTACCGCACAACTCCCTGTCTGCGGAATTGTAGCTGTCTTAATCTGGTGTATTCAACCCTTGGTACTCCAAGTTCGTAGTTTGCTGTAATCCAATCTTTGGCCGACATTTTCAAATTTAATCGTGTTGTTCCTTGTGTGACTTCAAATGTCACTCATCACTTCACAACTACTGGCCCACCTGTCCTCTCCAAGCAACGGCGTCATCTCTCGAGAAACTCCATGCTGTTAAGGCTGAGTCTGAATGCATACTCAAAATGAGTATAATCAAAACCCCTAACAGCACGAGGTCTTCACCTTTTCGTGTGGTGCCTAGGAACAGTGGCATGGACTGGAAGTATCGAGGTGATTATTATTGTTGTTCCCTTAGGTTCCTAGTGGAACATAGGGCTTCAACTGCACATCTCCACTTGCTTCTCTCTTCTGCTGTGCTTTTCATCTGCGTCCATGTTAGTCCATACTGTTTCAACTCTTCTTCACGCGATCTCCTCCATGTTAACCTTGGACATCCCACTCGCTGCTTCCCTTTCGGGCTCCATTCTAACAATGGCCTGACGCGCACGCGATGTCACCCAGCGACCTCCTCAGCGAGCGAGTGTCCAATCCATCTCCACCTTCTCCTGCACATTTGTTGGTTGGCGATTGGTTCTTGTTTTGTTTGTTCCCATAGTTTCTTGTTGGTGATTCTTTCGTGGTGATTACCGAAGGCTTAATGATCGAGCAATCTCGGATCGTTATTCAGTCCCACTAATACACGATTTGACATCACCTTTGAAGGATTAGAATGTATTGAGCGAGTTTGACTTGAAACGCGTTTATCACAGGATCAACTTGATGCCTGATGTTGTCCCAAAGATAGTAGCTGTCAATGGAGTTGAAGATTGAACGATCAATTCTTGGTTGTTTGCTCAAAATCAACTTCCTCGATTTTCGCGGAGGCATCAATACGACAGTCATCGTCTCATCGGTCGCTGTTCAGAAAGAAGACTGAAACATCGTCAGAAGTAACAACGATTTATTATTGTAATATTTGTTTACAGACCTTAGTTTGCTTAGTGATACTTGATTTATATGCTGGTGTAACAATACATAATACTCAAGTCAACAATTGGTGTTTTGGTTTCTTCGTCCGTTATAACTAAGCGTTTCTGAGAAATCTTCTAAGAACAGCGTGGGCCCGAGCGTAGCGAGAGCTGGGCATTAACGGTTTATGAGACTTTGCTGACAGTTTCTGACGATAGAAACAGATTTGGCGGATTCAAACAGTTGGTGAAATTTTGGATAGTCGCCGTTCATTTTCCTGGTGCCGGTCAAGTCCTCTTTGAACAAGCAATATCTGGAACTTTTTTGGAATTTGGTCAAGTTCAACAATGCCTGGGTCAAAGAAGGGACAGAGTGTCTTGGATGCAAACAGGAAAGTAAGTCATGGTGACTTGTCTGTTACTTGTAACGATGTGTCTGATGTTAAGTATGATATGGTTGATGTTATTGTTTCGCCGTTCAGGGATAATAGGAACATCAAACTCCCTAAATTAGAACCACGATGTTTTGATGGAAACCCGACTGATTATTTACAATTTGTAAAGGAGTTTGAGATCATGTTGAGTGGTTTTTTATTAAATGATGAATTGAAATTGATGTATTTGATGAGATATTGCCGCCCGAACCGGCGACAGTAATAGCACTTACTGGGGTCATCATGCTGCTGGGACGGAATTGGAGGTTGGCTTGACGATGGAGCATTAGGCCGGCGTTGTCGTGATGCTGGGACGGTTGTTCTTCGCTCGGTGGTCCCGAGAGCATAGCAGGGCGTACTGGCAGCTGGAGTGAGAATATGCTCGACGCTCTCGAATCGCTTTACCACCTCAATGGCCTCTGAGACTGATTTTGCTGGCTGGCGTAGAAGCTGGCACTTCAGCTCATATGATGAGACACCTTGGGCAAAACGGCTACAGATAACATCATCTTGGTTTGGGTTGGGAAGGCTGGGAAATGCGCGCGATGCCATCTCGCGGAGTTGATGCAGGTAATCGAACGCTGTTTCGCCGGGCTCTTGACAGCGGCTGAGAAAAGTGTGCATGTACACCGAAGGGCTGGAGGTTTTGGCGAAACATTCGTCGAGGACACGCCAGTTGTAGCTGATGGGTTTGGACGCGGAGAAGCCCCCAGCGATAGCACGACGTAGTGCGGTGTCACTCATTGCTTGCATGATCTGAGTATATTGAGCGTGTGGAGTAAGACCGGATAAGAGAGGCTCCACGCGAATCTTCCACATTTCGTAATCGCTGTTCAGGTCCAACGTTGGTAATCCTCGAACCGGGAAGATGTGTTCTGTGGCTGGGGATTGTGGGTGACTTGTGGGGTGGAGAAGATTGCAGGAGGATCGGAAGAATCTGATTTCATTTCGAGATTGAGTTTTGGACACCTCCGACACCAATTGTAACACCCAGAAGCAACAGACACAGTCAGCGAAGGAAGAAGAGGAAGATGCGAGAGGAAGGTCTATATTTCCAGCACGCAGGGCTCGAATTGCCCGGGTACAAGCTAATCATTGTCATTTATAACAAGGTTAGACAAACAGTCCTCCACCTGTTCCAGCACGGCCAGGCCAGCGTTCTTATCTGAAAAAGAGGAAACAGGAGACTCATTTAGTGATGTCATGTTAGTTTTTATATCATTACATCGCTCCCTCCCCTCTGGAGGCACTGTCCTCAGTGCCTGGCGGCGGTATAGGGTATGCACTACCTCCATCAGTGGGCACCTCGAAGTAGGTCGTAGCTGGTGGCGGTTGCGAAGATGTCGACGGTTCTTTGACAGCTGGTGGACAGTGTGGTTTCAGCTGGTTGTAATGTGCTGAGATGAGATTTTCCTGGGGGCGTCGCAAGTTCCGCAGGACATATGTAGTTGGAGGTCGGTGTTGTACGATTTCATATGGACCTTTCCAGGGGGCGTAGAACTTGGGGCACGAACCGGCAGGGACTGACGGCCGATGAAGCCAGACGTAGTCACCCGGGGAATAGGTTGGTCCGTGGGCAAACCGATCATAGTTGCTTTTCTGATGCTGCGAAGAAGACTGCAGATGTCGACGTGTTAGGTTGTAGGCTGTGTCGAGGTGGTGACGAAGGTTGCGGACGTAGGGAATACAGTCGATCTTCTCGTATGGTAGCAACGGTGTCCGGATCTCAACAGGAAGGCGAAGTTCATGCCCAAACAAGAGTAGAGCCGGGGAAAATCCGGTCGACGAATGCACGGAGGAGCGGTATGCAAGCAAGCATTGAGGCAGGACATCGTCCCAGGTGTTCTCCGGTGCGTTGTGCAAAAAGGCACGAAGAAGATGCTTGATGGTTCGGTTGGTGCGTTCCACCAGTCCATTCCCTTGTGGATGATAAGGCGTAGTATGGGTCTTTCGAATGCCGAAAGCATTGCAGATGTGAGAGATAAGAAGACTCTCGAAAGCAGCGCCTTGATCAGAGTGTAGATAAAGAGGGGCACCAAAACGGGACACCCAGTTGTCGATGAAAGCTCGCCCGATCGTCAGGGCATCTTGTTGCTGCAAGGGGACTGCTTCGCACCACTTGGTGAAATAGTCGACCATGACAAGTATATAACGATTCCCGCGTCTCGATGTTGGTACTGGCCCAATGATGTCGACTCCAACTCGATGATTAGGGGCTTCGGTCAGCATAGGTACTAGGGGTGCTCGGGGAGTTGGCTTAGGCTGTTTGATCTGCGCACATATAGCGCAATTGCGGCAAAACTCCATAACATCATGGTGTATAAGTGGCCACCAGAAGCGTTGACGGATGGCGTGTTCAGTTTTCTGTTGGCCAGCGTGTCCCAGTTGATGATGCACCTGACTAATAAGCTCGGGTACTTTAACAGTTGGGACGAGGAGTCGGGGGTTGGCATTTGGTTCCACTATGTAAAGAACATTATCTATAAGTCGTAGTAAACCCCACTTCTCGCAGATGCACCGCGTGGCTGCTGGTAAATCCCGTAGTTCTTTGGACGTCGGTTTATCGTTCCCATGCTGTTGACGTAAATAAATGGGCTGTATCGTTGTGTCCGCCGCTTGCAGGGAGGCCCAGTCGGTGTCAGCTGCAGCACCGAGTAACACATTCAGTGTGTTCTCGCAATCGGGCAGGCGAGAGAGAGAGTCGGCGTTACCATGTCGTTTTCCAGGCCGGTATTCACAAATGAAATCAAACTCCTGTAACCGTTCCTGCCAGCGGGCAAGTTGGCCGTCGGCATCACGAAAATTTTGCAACCACTGTAACGCCTTGTGGTCAGTCCGGACTCGAAATTTGCGCCCCAATAAGTAATGACGAAAGTAGGAGAGGAAGTAGACGAGGGCTAGCATCTCACGTCGCGTCGTCGAATACCGCGTCTCTCTTTTGTCTAGCATCCGACTAGCATATGCTATCACTCGTATTTGTCCGTCAGAGGTTGTTTGCGAGAGAACGGCTCCTATTGCATGTGCACTGGCGTCGGTATCCAGAATGAAGGGCCCGCTACCAGCCGATGTGTCTGGAAACGATAGGACAGGGGGAGAAGTTAGACGTTTTTTAAGCGTGTCAAAGGCTACCTGGCACTCATTTGTCCAAACAAATTTCCGTCCTTTTTCTGTCAAGCGATGGAGAGGGGCTGCTATACTGGCGAAATTCTGGACGAAACGCCGGTAATAGGAGGCGAGTCCCATGAAACTGCGTACGTCAGTGGTCGATTTAGGGGTCGGCCAGTTAAGAACTGCTTGAGTTTTGCTGCTATCCGTATGTACTCCTTGTGGAGTAATCTCATGTCCAAGGAAATTAACAGATTTCTGCAGGAATTTGCATTTCGAGGCTTGCAGCTTAAGGTTACTCTCGCGTAAGCGTTGAAATACGGCGCGAAGGTTGGCATGATGGTCTTCGAGAGACTGGCCGAACACGATGATATCGTCCAGGTAGATGAGGCACTTTTTGGGGACTAGCCCTGCAAGTACTGTTTGCATGAGCCGTTGAAACGTAGCAGGGGCGTTAGACAGGCCAAATGGCATGGTTTCGAATTCGTACAGCCCCGTAGGCACAACGAACGCAGTTTTGGGGCGGTCTTCTGGGCGAATTTCAACTTGCCAATAGCCGGAAGCGAGATCTAGTGTGGAAAACCACTGTGCCCCACCTAAAGCATCTAAGGTAGCGTCGATGCGAGGCAAAGGAAAAGAATCCCGTTGTGTGATTGCATTTAAGCGGCGATAGTCGACACAGAGGCGGAGAGAACCATCTTTCTTTTTCACAAGAACGATTGGAGATGCCCACGGTGACGTAGACGGTTTAATCACCTTCTTTCGTAACATATCTGTTATCATGGTATCCAACTGCTGTTGGTAATGAATGGGCACTCGTCGCGGTGGCGTCCTAATGGGCAAGTTATCACCTGTCTGAATCTCGTGCTGTACGATATTAGTCCGCCCCATCACTTGCCCATCGTCAAATACACAACTGTACTCCTGTAGCAGGGCCAGGGTGTCGGTACGGTCTTTTAGACTGAGGTGGGGGTTATCATGGATGTTCACCACTGTCATCTGAGGTAAAGCACAAACATTAGCACTCTGGTTGCGGTTGACTGGTCGGCGACATGCGAGGTTATGTGTCCCCAGCCGAATTTGAAAGCGTCTTAGGTCAATGACAGCGTTTTTTTCAGTTAAGAAGTCCACGCCCAGTATGGCGTCCCATCGTATGCCATCACAAATGACGAATGACTGGACACAAGTAAAACCTGGGAACGTCACGGAAAGTGTGGCCATGTCTGTTACCTCTATAGGGGCTCCATTGGCGGTAATTAACTGGAGCTGATTGGGGAGAGGTTGAGGTTTGACCCCAAGTGTCTGGACCAATTGCGTGCGAACAACAGAGGATGATGCCCCGGTGTCCACCAGAAAAGTGACGTCAGTGCCCTGGAGTTTACCTTCAAGGAGGAGGGGAGATTTCGAGCAATTATCAAATAATGGCACATCAGAACATGGCTCACCTTGCGGTTTTTTGTTATGCCCACATTTCCATGCTCGCCGCCCGAACCGGCGACAGTAATAGCACTTACTGGGGTCATCATGCTGCTGGGACGGAATTGGAGGTTGGCTTGACGATGGAGCATTAGGCCGGCGTTGTCGTGATGCTGGGACGGTTGTTCTTCGCTCGGTGGTCCCGAGAGCATAGCAGGGCGTACTGGCAGCTGGAGTGAGAATATGCTCGACGCTCTCGAATCGCTTTACCACCTCAATGGCCTCTGAGACTGATTTTGCTGGCTGGCGTAGAAGCTGGCACTTCAGCTCATATGATGAGACACCTTGGGCAAAACGGCTACAGATAACATCATCTTGGTTCGGGTTGGGAAGGTTGGGAAATGCGCGCGATGCCATCTCGCGGAGTTGATGCAGGTAATCGAACGCTGTTTCGCCGGGCTCTTGACAGCGGCTGAGAAAAGTGTGCATGTACACCGAAGGGCTGGAGGTTTTGGCGAAACATTCGTCGAGGACACGCCAGTTGTAGCTGATGGGTTTGGACGCGGAGAAGCCCCCAGCGATAGCACGACGTAGTGCGGTGTCACTCATTGCTTGCATGATCTGAGTATATTGAGCGTGTGGAGTAAGACCGGATAAGAGAGGCTCCACGCGAATCTTCCACATTTCGTAATCGCTGTTCAGGTCCAACGTTGGTAATCCTCGAACCGGGAAGATGTGTTCTGTGGCTGGGGATTGTGGGTGACTTGTGGGGTGGAGAAGATTGCAGGAGGATCGGAAGAATCTGATTTCATTTCGAGATTGAGTTTTGGACACCTCCGACACCAATTGTAACACCCAGAAGCAACAGACACAGTCAGCGAAGGAAGAAGAGGAAGATGCGAGAGGAAGGTCTATATTTCCAGCACGCAGGGCTCGAATTGCCCGGGTACAAGCTAATCAGTGTCATTTATAACAAGGTTAGACAAACAGTCCTCCACCTGTTCCAGCACGGCCAGGCCAGCGTTCTTATCTGAAAAAGAGGAAACAGGAGACTCATTTAGTGATGTCATGTTAGTTTTTATATCATTACACACCGTAGAGGAACGATAGCTTTTAATACACGCGCTGACAATATCTCTCACGGGAGATTTAAAACAATGGAAACATATATCACAGATCATGTTTCAGTATTTATATTCCTAAAGGATGACGTTTTGAGGAAAAAAACGGTGTTTGAATGAAAAAGCACGACGTTTTCCCGAGATGGGGAGTCTACATCAAACGCAATGGCTAAACAAGGTTCTCTAGGTAATGGTTATAATACTCGAAACATTTCGGGTCGATTTACTTGTAGGAAACAATTTTTGGGTACAGCTAATGTGTTAAATGTGAAAAATTTACATACGGTGGTTGTCTGTAAGCTACAGGTACAAAAATAGCGATTAAATTCAAACTTAGGGCCTTCATTCTACTACTTATTCAGTATCAGTTTCGATAACCTCAAGGCACAAGATGAAGGCATTTAGTTCCTTTTTTACATGAATAGAAACGTGGATACCCCTTGAATGAAAAATATTTTAGCTTAATCAATCCTGTGTAAAACGCTTAGAAAAAACTTTCCAGCTGTTTCATATCCCATTACTGCATGTTTCGGAGTGTATACTAGGTGTTCCATTTATTTACGAAGATTCAAGAAAGTGTTGATCACTAAATTCCTCCTTCCAAATATATACACAAAGGATACAGAGGACTTCTAGGAATTTAGGAGTATGTGTATCATAGTGGACTTCTCACATTTTATCTTCTTGCACGCAACAGTCTCTTTTTTCGGTGTATAGGACACTCTGGACAAGTATCTTCACTTCTTTCTCTGGTGGTATGCACGACCCTGAGCACTAGTTCGAACTCCAGTTTTACCTCTTTCCATTGTGTTATTAACACTCATCCTGTGAGTTTGTTATTCAGCTATACTTGTCAGATATGACCTAGGTCCCTTTCTCTGAATAATATCCAATTTTTATTTCAAATCAAAGATACTGCTCATCAGAGGATATTTCCAACTAACTGAGTCTTTTTGATTTTGCCCTTGTTGTCAGTAATTATAAGTTAGGTGGAGTACTGATTTATTGCACAATTGAAGGAATTACGCCTGTTTCAGGGTCGGTGTAGTGAAGCTTACCAATATTACCACGTGTAACATACAACTCAGAGGCCCAAATCTCACTATCTGCCACATCTCACTCCTAATTCATCAATATCTCAATTTCTTTCATCGGTTACTCCCCAATCATTTTCTCATAACAGGTTATTATCACTTGTGTATTTGTGTTATTTTAAACCGCTGATATCTTATTATAAGATATCACGTAAGTTGTCTTAACATGGCTGAAACTGACTATCCCGTGCAGACGTCGGTTATATCGCGGCTCCTCATCTTCTGGGCGACTCAGCCTTGTTCCTCGTTCCCACATGTTGAAGCCAAATTCGCTCTGCGGCTTATTCACTCAAAAGAAACTAAGGCTAAATTAACCATTATGATCCTTCCCGGAAATATCATGAAATACGCTTCAGCTCTTCTTGACAACCCCTCCCTGAACCTTAGAGATCTCCAGAAAGACGCGCTAATCTAGGGAGTAATGCTAACTGACTAACAACAGGTACAAGAACTCTTCAGAGATATTCAAACTAGAGGTCGTGATCCCCCTCAAATGCCTAGTTAGATGAAACTGCCAGTTACTGTCTTAAATACCCAACAGAACCTTCTTTTAACAATTGTGATTGCGGAGTTTTCCTCACAAAGTTCAAGGAATTCTTGCACCATCTTACAAATTACTTTTGAAGGAATTAGCAGAGTTAGCTGATAGAGCCACCGAGGCCACCAGATCATTCACCAGTATTTCTTCAGCCCTGTCTATCAACACCTCATACCACAAGGACCTCCATTAAACGGGTGAATTACCCATTCTTGACATCACACAAATAAGTCAGTTGTGTAAAAGGTGTAGAAGTTCTTCGTTCACTCACACACTTCGCTATCACGGCAAATTTTCTTCGCTTCGTGTAAAAAGACGACTGACATCGAAAAACTTACAACTTATAACCTGTCAGCGCCATAGACGTATTTTTGCCACTTCAAGAAGGTGTATTTGTCCCTGCACCTTTGATACTAGTAGGTCCAGAAACGTGTGAGTTAACAAATAGTGGCGATTAACTTTGATTGCAAACTGCTCCTTTGTCGTCTCTTCTATGTCACAAATTGTAACTATAGGATACGCTTCCTGGTTGGTACTGGGCTAGAAGCCAGTTTAATACCACCGACAGAAAAATGGCCTCAGTGGTCAACATCTCTTCAGCTACGCTACTCTAATTTTCCTACTATCACAAATCATGGCAGAAGGCCTTTAGACAGTAACATCGGACTTCGCAGTTCTTCCTATCGGGTTTCCGTCATGGCCGACGCGATTGTTGACATTAATGGTATGGACCTCTTGCAGTACTATCAGGTGCTAGTTTATTGGCAAACATAATTTGATTGATTCTACCGCACAACTCCCTGTCTGCGGAATTGTAGCTGTCTTAATCTGGTGTATTCAACCCTTGGTACTCCAAGTTCGTAGTTTGCTGTAATCCAATCTTTGGCCGACATTTTCAAATTTAATCGTGTTGTTCCTTGTGTGACTTCAAATGTCACTCATCACTTCACAACTACTGGCCCACCTGTCCTCTCCAAGCAACGGCGTCATCTCTCGAGAAACTCCATGCTGTTAAGGCTGAGTCTGAATGCATACTCAAAATGAGTATAATCAAAACCCCTAACAGCACGAGGTCTTCACCTTTTCGTGTGGTGCCTAGGAACAGTGGCATGGACTGGAAGTATCGAGGTGATTATTATTGTTGTTCCCTTAGGTTCCTAGTGGAACATAGGGCTTCAACTGCACATCTCCACTTGCTTCTCTCTTCTGCTGTGCTTTTCATCTGCGTCCATGTTAGTCCATACTGTTTCAACTCTTCTTCACGCGATCTCCTCCATGTTAACCTTGGACATCCCACTCGCTGCTTCCCTTTCGGGCTCCATTCTAACAATGGCCTGACGCGCACGCGATGTCACCCAGCGACCTCCTCAGCGAGCGAGTGTCCAATCCATCTCCACCTTCTCCTGCACATTTGTTGGTTGGCGATTGGTTCTTGTTTTGTTTGTTCCCATAGTTTCTTGTTGGTGATTCTTTCGTGGTGATTACCGAAGGCTTAATGATCGAGCAATCTCGGATCGTTATTCAGTCCCACTAATACACGATTTGACATCACCTTTGAAGGATTAGAATGTATTGAGCGAGTTTGACTTGAAACGCGTTTATCACAGGATCAACTTGATGCCTGATGTTGTCCCAAAGATAGTAGCTGTCAATGGAGTTGAAGATTGAACGATCAATTCTTGGTTGTTTGCTCAAAATCAACTTCCTCGATTTTCGCGGAGGCATCAATACGACAGTCATCGTCTCATCGGTCGCTGTTCAGAAAGAAGACTGAAACATCGTCAGAAGTAACAACGATTTATTATTGTAATATTTGTTTACAGACCTTAGTTTGCTTAGTGATACTTGATTTATATGCTGGTGTAACAATACATAATACTCAAGTCAACAATTGGTGTTTTGGTTTTTTCGTCCGTTATAACTAAGCGTTTCTGAGAAATCTTCTAAGAACAGCGTGGGCCCGAGCGTAGCGAGAGCTGGGCATTAACGGTTTATGAGACTTTGCTGACAGTTTCTGACGATAGAAACAGATCTGGCGGATTCAAACAGTTGGTGAAAGTTTGGATAGTCGCCGTTCATTTTCCTGGTGCCGGTCAAGTCCTCTTTGAACAAGCAATATCTGGAACTTTTTTGGAATTTGGTCAAGTTCAACAATGCCTGGGTCAAAGAAGGGACAGAGTGTCTTGGATGCAAACAGGAAAGTAAGTCATGGTGACTTGTCTGTTAATTGTAACGATGTGTCTGATGTTAAGTATGATATGGTTGATGTTACTGTTTCGCCGTTCAGGGATAATAGGAACATCAAACTCCCTAAATTAGAACCACGATGTTTTGATGGAAACCCGGCTGATTATTTACAATTTGTAAAGGAGTTTGAGATCATGTTGAGTGGTTTTTTATTAAATGATGAATTGAAATTGATGTATTTGATGAGATATTGCACTGGAGATGCTGCAAGAGCTATACAGTGTTGTAAGTTTATGAAGCCAAAGAGGGCTACGATGAGGCTATGAGCATATTACGCCAAAGGTTTGGAAGACCTTCGATGATTGCAGGGAAATTATTCGAGGCTGTTGAGGGTAATGGTGGTCAATTACAGGATGACTCCCAGGCACTCACTGAGTTTTTAGATAATTTGCTAATTTACAAGAATGGAATGATTTCGATGAATCGAATGAGTGACCTCAACTCGAGTTTTATACTAGAAGTAATAGCAAGACGTCTACCTACCCGACTGCAAAGGAAGTGGGTGAAGATAAGCTCCCGTATGGAGGATGAGGGTATCGAGCCAAAGTTTGATGATATCCTGAAACTGGTAAATACTAGTGTCAATCAATCTATGAGCAAGTTCGCCAGTCTGTTAGATCTCACCCATAGAATAGAGCAGTCTGAGGGTAAAACGCACTCATTGATGACGAATAAGCCTCAGAGAGGTGGATATCGAGAAGGCTCCATGATGTCTAGTAATGCATATAGATCTAGTGAGTGTAACAGGTTTCGTAGTACATCCTCAACAGATAAGTTGCAAGATGCAAGACAAACACGGTTGTGTTTACACGTGTGCAAGAGGTGCATACAGAAGTGAACTGTGAACCAGTGAGCAAGTTCAGTGATAAGCTAAATGTAAACTCCAGGTCTGACTCCGAATTGTGTGACGATAACGGTGCGTTGAAGAAGTCTGTAGTTGCAACTGGTAAGCCGTTGTTGAATAGAGTGTCACAGAATAGAGTTACTGCTTCAGAGTGCAGTTCTGACCCTACAAGTTTACAAGGTATTATT